CTCAAGGTGATGCCATCGGCGCATCCTCCAGGCACAGGGTCCATGCGCGTTGGCGAAGAGCTTCGCGAGCACGGAAACACGACATCACGACGTCGGCCAGGCCGCATCCGCTCAAAGCAGACATCGCCGGTCCGGTCTACTGCGCATGCACTGGTGCAGAGACGCGCAGTTTCCTGTGCTGTTTGAACAGGACGAGAAATTCTGGGCTGGCAGACCAAGGACTTTCTTCACAGATGCCAGCCAGCAGCAGAAGCCCGCGCGCAGTCGCTTCCAGGTTGTAGGCCAGGCCGCCCGGTTGGTTTGGACGAGGCATGTGTCACCAACGGCCCTTGAAGCGCCTTGGGGCTCTTTGGGCCACGGGGCTATCGCTATCCGACCTGACGGAGCACGTGTTTCGTAGCAACGCGACGACATGGTTCGTCAGGCCAGCAAGCACCAAAGTGAGCCTGGCAACTGCAGCTTCCATGGCAAACCTGACCAAGCCTTTGCCAGCGCGACCCCGGCTCTTGCCCCTCACATCTACGGCTAGCTGCATGGCTGGCACAGAAGAGCCCGTTGCAGGCCGCTCTGACAAGGCGAAGTCGTGGAGACATGCACTTGTCAGGATCTCTCAGCGGCACTTTAGACACGACCTCTCGCGCTTTCAACTGCACAAACGGAAGTGAAGTCCGTCTATCGTATCCGTCCTTAGGGGGCCCCGTGCCACGGATGTGCCTTTGTTACATCTTGCATCAATAGTCCCTGCTCGGTGCAAAACCTCGAACGGCCCTGAACCCTACAGCCAAGCGTAGGGCCGAAAGGCCCGGGGAAGCATCCAAGCGCACCTCAAGGCCTCGCGGCGAAGGAGACGATCACAGCGTGTCAGCGAGCCAGGTCAATCTCGCTCTCGGGTCCTGGGGCTGCGCCTGTTCGTCAGGCCCAGCCACAGGCCACAGGCCCAGGGAACATGGACGAAAAGTGCGGAGCCGCGTCTGGCGGCATAAGCCTGCCCAGAGGCCTTGCGAAGCAGCGATGTCCAAACCCCAAGATACATGTGCCGAGTCCGACGTCGGAGGACCATCTTTGCTTGGACTCGTTCAACATCCTGCAGCAACCTGCTTGAGATCCCAACCCCGACAGCCAGCATTGCGGGAGGTGCAGGAGGTGCGCTCCATGCGCAGCGAGCTCGAAGACTCAGGCTCAAGGCCGCACAGTCCGGCCACGGCATCTCACGACGGACCGGCGAAGCAAATCGAAGCGTCTCAAACGTTCGGCCGAACCATGTCGAGCCCAATATACTATGAGAAACACACGCCCTTGGCCCAACCCGAGTGCTAGAAAGTCACAGTTACTAGGATCACGAAAGGACCGAAACTGCGTGGTTCTGAAGCCCTGAGAAAGTGAAGCAAGAAGCCCTCTCCTGCAATGCAGCAGGATTCTGCAAACTGCACGTCCGATGCCTTTCAGGCAGAAGCTCTCGGAGCCCAACTTGCACATCCAATGGGTCCGACAGCTTGACCACGGCATTTACTTGTATAGGTGTTCGGGATTCATTGAATTGAGAAATACGTCGAGCACGTCGAGCCCGCACGAATCGGCATTTCAATAAACAGTATGATAGCAGAGAAGGGTTGGCCCGTCCTTTGCACGCACATCGGGAGAAGTTGCCCACAGATTCGCACTCCGTTTAGTGCTTCGGCTCCAGTGCATTCAGATCGCGTCCCAGCCGTCTCCGGAAAGGAGCGGCAGGTAGCAGGCTTGGAGAGCGTTGCCCATGCCCCACAGCGTGTCTGGCTATACATGCCAAAGTTGCCAGTCCACGGTGCAGGAAGCAAGTGCGGCAAGGGGACCCTGAACGGGGCCGCGGTACACGAGGGTGGTGCTTCACGAGGACCCTGCAGACCTTGATGAGGCCGCAAGGGAAGGGCTTCTGGCTTCTCTCGAGGAATCATGTAGACATGCCTTCTTCGGTTCTGCGAGGCTCTGCCGCAAGACTCAGACACAGCTGGTTAAGCCAACAGTTTTGAGCATCTCCGGCAACTCCACATCCAGGCAGTGCCAGCCTGCAACAGGCAATGATGCACTGCGAGTCCTGGGCCTGCGGGTGCCAGGAATCCTCGGCTGGCTCCGCGACTCCAACTGTGCCGGCAGTCGCCTGCCTGGGACGCTGCAGGAGGTGCTGTGGCCTTACTCTGAGCTCACCTACAACTACAAGGGTGTCGGACAGCCAGTGGACATGAGCAACGCAGCGAGAAACACCCGAAGCAGCTCGGGAATGGCCGGAGTGAAGCAGGCTGCCTACCACGGGCTCAGCAGTGCCCAGTCCTGCGCACTCAAACCTCCGGCTTCACTCTCAAGCCAAGTAGAGTAAGTAGAGCTTGCAACCCTGGATCCAGGCGATCCAGGGTTGCATGACTTGCAGGGCACGACCTTGCGCCTGCTCAGCGCATGCGACATCAGACAACGAGTGCTGTGCCGCTGCGCGCCTGGCCTGGCTAACAGTGCTCCTGTCTCCTGTCTCTCGAACTCTCGAACACAGATGCCATGGCAGGCATCAGCTGATCCTACAGCTGCAGCACCCCACGTTTGATGCTGCCACGCGCTTCCTCCTTCGTTGCGTGACCTTGAAAGCCTGCCTCGGGCAGAGGCAGTGACACCTTCTTGAAGCTTACAAACCAGCCTTTCTGCACTTCAACCGAAGCCACAGACAGGAGTGGGAGATCCTCGCCATCGACAAGCCACCTCTAGGTGGAGGCAGCGAGCGCATTGTTCGGCAACGCCAAGGAGCCTTGGGTACAGCTCCCCGACATACTGCGCAAGTTGCGTTGGCCGCACGCAACCCAAAAGAGCAGCAGGATTCACAAAGTCCTGGGTCAGAGGCTTCCCGCACGTCAAGCACCGGAGCTGGTCAGCAAAGGCTCCCCCGCCCTCCTTCATCCCTGTGCGAGTCCGGCGCCCATCCTTCTTTTATCCTCACCAAGCTTGCTGCTTTCCAAGCAACTGGCACATGCACATGCCAGCGTGCGGGCACAAGTCATGCTCTGTTGGCATACTTTAGGTGCACGTTACGAAACCGAAAGATCCACCGACCCTCCGATGGTCCGTGACTCGCCCCTTCCGCAACACCTCCGCATGAGGATAGGCTGACGGCAATGTCCCTACAACCTGTGTAAGAGCAGGTGTTCCGTCAGGTCGGCGCCAGCAGCAAAGAACACCTGAGCCAGGACTGTGCGGAATCCCCGCTTTCGGCTTCGGACTCCACCTACATCGCGAGCTGATGAAAACCCCGCGCCCCCTTCACAGAAGCTTCTCCAAACATGAAAGGTCAACAGAGCTCTCGTGCACCTCGCTGTACAACTGGTACTGCACTTCTGTCACCAATGATGCGCCCAGCCTCGCCAGCCTCATCCTGCATCTAGATGGGAACCGCCATCCAGGGAAGCCAATCGGAAGTAGCGTTGCTACATCGGCTCCCCAAAATCCTGATCGGTCTCGGGACTAGCTTGGCCTGGCGCTTCTGAGCTTCGAGTCTACTGTACCCCAGGATACCCAAGGGAGCAAATTGAACTGCAGTGTGACAATGCTACATCCTGCAAGCTGTGAACAAATTTTGAGCGGCCACAGACATCGCGAATTCTTTCGAAACGTGCAGTCACATACAAACTATAAATAAGAATAACAATCGCAAAGCCGTGCTGTGTATGTGCATGTGCTAACGTAGGTTCTGGCAGCTGTACCACACCAGCTCCTTAAGTCAAAGACATGCACTACAAGAGAATCCACTCTCCGCCAATGTCGTCAAAACGGAAAATCAATAGAACTGTATTTGATGCTGCCGACCTGCTTTCGCTCTTCCCTGTCCGTCGCTACTTACGTTTGTTGAGACTTGCCACGACCGGGCTCCCCATCCTATGAAAGTCCCCGAGTCTCGCTCTCTCGCTCTCGCTCCCTCTCTCTTTCTTTCGCCAGGGCTAGGGTGTAGGGGCTCACTATCTCTCTCTCTCTCTTTGCTTTGCTTTGCTAGGGGCTTGAGGCGGGAGCAGTCCTTCCGCCCCGCGCGGGCGCGCTGCCCCATCCATCATTTGGATTGGATGGGCTCGGACTTTACAGAAAAGGCACTAAGGCTAGAACGTGTGTAGTCGTAGTTTGCCGAAAGTCGGGTGCCCCCGCTTGCTAGGCTGGTGCCCCTACCTCAACCTGACTCTCTCTCTCTCTCTCTTTCTCTCTTGCTTGCACTCAGCCAAGAGAAGGGCGGACACCCCCCTCCGCTTCGCTTCGCTTCGCTTCTCAGGGGATGAGTTCGCGCGCGAACCCGGGCCTAGGCCCCCCCTTCCCCGTTTTGGCGGTGGAAGAGGCTTTGGGGTTTTCAACGGTCGGGAGATTTTGTCCTGGCGGAAGGTGCGGCTGGTGAAGTACGGCTGGCGAGGAAACCGACCCCTTTACACTATCGCGCGTCCCGGCCTCATCGCCGCGCTCTCTAACCCCCCTCCGCTCTCTCTCTCTCTCTCTCTCTCTCTCTCTCTCTCTCTTCTTCTGCTGGGCGTGGGAGGCGTGCGACGCCCCCCGGCCACATGGGCCCCCCATGTGTTATGGGGCTTTCGGAAAGGGCGTGAGAGTGACAAAGAGTCCCCCTGACAAGAGAGAAGTCTCTCTCTCTCTCTCTCTCTCTCTGTCTCTCCCTCTCTCTCGGTGTGGAAGGGCAAGCTTCTCATCAAATCTTGATGCGCACGTCCCTACCATACACTCGCTCAAAACTGCATCTGTGAGCAAAGTCAACTGACACATGGATAGGAAATCTCCACTACCGGAGAATGCCTTGCAGAGCATTGTTCGGGAGCAAGTGTATTGGGAAGACATCATGACCGAGCAAGATATCGGCATTGTCATGAGCAACTTCTAGATACCAAGAGTTCATGTCCAGTGTATCCACAGCACTGGGCACAGGGTGGACCTTTTTTTCTCTCTCGCAGGGCCTGGACTGGATCTTCACATCCGCCCCTCGAAACGAGAATCGAGATCGATCAGGTATGAACATCGAGGTGTCGGGCCGCATCAGCAAGGGGGTCTCGAATAGAGAGCGAGCGATTTCGAGCAAGGACCTCCTCCTCCGGCAAGAGCGAGACAAGGAGACCGCAGGAGAGCCCCAAACCCAAGGGAAGCTCCTCTCCCGTAGGCTTCTTCCGCGCACGTCCATCACATATGAACGCCGAGGTGCATGGTTGCATTTGCAAGAGAGTCTCATGCTTCGGTGTTTGGCGCCACCGCGCCTTGCAACCCCAAAGAAGCGCTCCAGGATCTGCAAAACCCTGGGTCGAAGAATTTCGGTGATTCGAGTGCCGGAGCTGCTCATACGATGTGGAGCACCTCGCCTCCGCCGCAGGTTTCCGGAAGCGCTCGAAGTGCTTGCTGAATCCTCCAAAGAGGTCGGTGTCGGAGGCCTCCCACCAAGTCGCAAAACGACGACGGCAACGAGGGGCAAGCACGGCAGCAGCAACGGAACTGCGGGTAGCGACACGCAAAGTGAAAGAGTGACCATGGGAGAGTGGCAAGGTACGGCGGTGGACCTTGCCCGCTTCAAACCTGACAAGGTCCACTGTCCGCAAAAGTGCGAGGACAGAGGCAGGACGAGATGCCAAGCTGTGAAGAGTGCGCTTGCCGACAAGCACTGACACATCCATGTCGGGCGGCGGCAGATGCCGGCAGCGCATCGCTCGATCGGCGACCCTCACAAGCCTGGGTTTTTGTCTGCAGGCAACCTGCGCTGACCCCACGGTGCTGAACGCCAGGCTTGCGAAGCTTAAAAGCACAGAAAACGCAACCTTAGAGAAGACTCAGAAACACGTGGCGGACAAAGAAACGGACTGTGCAGATACCCACTTCGAAAGAGTGTGGCCGACATCAGGTGCAGATCACTGCTTGCCGGAAGCAGGGCCGAGTTGCGACTCATGTCAGCCAAGGGCCGGGGGTGGCATGCCACGCGTATCTGCAACACGAAGTGAGCAGCCTGGGTATGCCAGCAGGCAGGTCCGAGCATGCGGCGTCCTACCCACTGGAAGTTGGCCAAGGTTTTCACTCCCTGCCTACTTTCAAGCCTCACCTACAAGAAAACGGCCCTTGAGTTTTTCCTAGACATTCAGTGGCTTCTTAAAGGCGGCCTGTGCCTTCCCCATAAGCCCACGCCAGCACCCAGAGCACTGCAACAGCCAGCTGCCATCAGGCTAGATCTGTTTGCTTTTGCTACCTCGAGCTTGGCAACGTGGTGCAGGATCCCCCAACACATCCACCGTTCGCCTGAGTTTGTGCATATGAGCTCTTCAAGCTGCAAGGAAACACGACGTCACGACTCCGGCCAGACCGTCTGTGCTTGAAGCAGACCTCGCCGGTGCAGAGAAACCCTGCTGCCCTGCTTGGGCTAGGAACTCCTCTCAGACTGAAGCGAACTTCTGGTAACGGCGGGGTGCCTGTGCCGCTCTGGGGACCACACACCTTGCAGAATGGGGCTGCCCCTGCGGTGAAAGTATTGGGCCTCGAGTTCCTCCAGAAACCCCGACGTTCGGAGGCCTCCGGGTGTGTTCAGTTTCAGTTGGCTGTTCATCGCCTCGCAGATGCCCGGCAAGCATGCGAATTCCTCGCGTGTATTGACATGCTAGCACAATCCTGTTGTCTGAATTTCACTCTGAATTTCTGCGGCAGAAGCTCGCCAGCGCATGCAGACGCCGCGGAAAGCACCCATTTCCAGAAATCTGGCCTCAAGGAAACGCCATCGGATCATCAACACGGGATTAACACGCCACTCATCAGGATGTTCGCGAGAAAGGAAGTACGATGTCACTGAAAGCAGACAGCACGGCAAGCACACCTGCGAGCCAGGGATTTCCCAGCATGATGCATCCTGTATCCATCGTCATGCCAGAACTCAAGCAGCGAAAGCTAGGCACATGTTTCTGGGACAGGATCCATGTTTTGGCGAAGAGCTTTGTGGCAAGGAAACGCGACGTCGCGACGTCGGCCAGACCGTATCTGCTCCAAGCAGACATCGCCGTCCAGTCTGCTGCGCTTGCAAAACTGCAGGGACTTGCAGAGCAACCCTTTCCTGCGCCGCTTGGGCAAGAAGTACAAGAAGTTCTTGGCTGAAAGACATGCAAGTGTTCGGCACGGTTTGCCTGCCAGGACTGTGCCAGGGGCATGTCGGACAGACCTCATCTCAAATTCATCGGAGATGCGGCATGGGACTTGAAAGTAACGTCTGGCAACCACGCCCTGCCCGCCCTGCGCTACGGAAACCTGGGCCTCATCATGCCGAGTGTCCGCCGTTACAGTTGTTCGTCGCCCTAACGCCAGCCATCCCTGACAGGCTTGCAAGTCGCGGGTGCCGATTCACATGAAAGCCTGCCTTGGCCCAGCATTCTGCCTTCTTAAGCCAAGATGCATCCTAGGGGCCTTGCAAAGGGCAGGCATCGTCAAACGGGCTCTGCTTCCTGCAGCTGGAATCCGGTTCAAGGCCCCATGCAGACACTCGGGCTGCTTCGACAATGTGGAGACGTCATCGGATCATCCTCACGGCATTAGCACGCCACTCATCAGGATCTTCGCGAGAACGGAAGCACGATGTCACTGAAAGCAGGCAGCCGTGAGCTTCCGGCAACACCCTATGCGTGGTTTGGACAAGAATTGCTGGCCTCGAGGACACTTCCCGGCCGTGCCTGAACCTGGACGTTCAGCCGCGTGTCCGGGTTTCTCGCCTGCCATTGGCTCGCCGGGCAGGCTGCGCAAGTCGCTGGTGCCAATTCAACATGCATCACAGCATGACAGACAGCGGACGAGGATGCACCACGGTAACGGCAAGCACATCTGCCAGCCAGAGATTTCCCAGCGTGATGCGCCCTGTTTCCATCCTCATGCCAGAACTCAAGCAGCGAAAGCTAGGCACATGTTTCTGGGACAGGATCCATGTGTTGGCGAAGAGCTTTGTGGCAAGGAAACGCGACGTCGCGACGTCGGCCAGACCGTATCTGCTCCAAGCAGACATCGCCGTCCAGTCTGCTGCGCTTGCAAAACTGCAGGGACTTGCAGAGCAACCCTTTCCTGCGCCGCTTGGGCAAGAAGTACAAGAAATTCTGGGCTGGAAGACATGCAAGTGTTCGGCACGGTTTGCCTGCCAGGACTGTGCCAGGGGCATGTCGGACAGACCTCATCTCAAATTCACCGGAGATGCGGCATGGGACTTGAAAGTAACGTCTGGCAACCACGCCCTGCCCGCCCTGCGCTACGGAAACCTGGGCCTCATCATGCCGAGTGTCCGCCGTTACAGTTGTTCGTCGCCCTAACGCCAGCCATCCCTGGCAGGCTTGCAAGTCGCGGGTGCCGATTCACATGAAAGCCTGCCTTGGCCCAGCATTCTGCCTTTTTGATGCATCGTAGGGGCCTTGCATAAGACAGACATCGTCAAACGGGCTCTCCCATACCATAAGGCAAGCTTTTACGCCCTTGGTGCAGGCTGAAAAAGACGAGCCTCGAGTGGGATCGGCACTCTGCAACTTCGACTGACGCCGGCACGCTAGAACACTCGACTGGTCCGACTGAGCAAGCGCAGTGGAAGAATGCGAAAGCAGCTAGATCTCCGAAGCGCGCTCGCTGGCATCGTCAAACGGGCTCTGCTTCCTGCAGCTGGAATCCGGTTCAAGGCCCCATGCAGACACTCGGGCTGCTTCGACAATGTGGAGACGTCATCGGATCATCCTCACGGCATTAGCACGCCACTCATCAGGATCTTCGCGAGAACGGAAGTACGATGTCACTGAAAGCAGGCAGCCGTGAGCTTCCGGCAACACCCTATGCGTGGTTTGGACAAGAATTGCTGGCCTCGAGGACACTTCCCGGCCGTGCCGCAACCGGGTTTCTCGCCTGCCGTTGGCTTGCCGGGCAGGCTGCGCAAGTCGCGGGTGCCAATTCAATAGGCACATGCTCCTGGGACACAGTCTGCGGGCAAGGAAACGCGACGTCGCAATGCCGGCCAGACCGTATCTGCTCAAAGCGGACATCGCCGTCCCGTCTTCTGCGCTTGCAACAATGCAAGGACTTGCAGAGCAACGCTTTCCTGCGCTGAAAGTTTAGGCTCGAAGACATGCAACTGTTCGGCCCGTCTTGCCTGCCAGCCAGGACTGTGCTTGGCTGTTCGCTGCCTGTAGCTCAGCCATGCCGGGGAAGCCAAGCCTGTCGTGCGGCCGGCGTTCTGCCTTCGTGAAGCTAAAACGCATCACCAGCACATGCCAGCTGGCCAGGGATTTCCCGGCGTGATGCGCCCCGTACGTCGGCATGCCAGAACTCAAGCACCGGAAGCAGAAGGAGGGGAAGGCCACCGGATCTAGGACAGACGATGCGGTCTCAAGGAGATGCCGTCGGCATGTCCTCCTGAGACAGGGTCCATGTGCGTTGGCGAAGAGCTTCGCGAGCGCGGAAACGCGACGTCACGACGTCGGCCAGGCCGCAGCCGCTCAAAGCAGACATCGCCGGTCCGGCCTGCTGCGCTTGCACTGCTGCAGAGACGGGCAGAGCAGCACTGTCCTGCCCTGCTTTGAAGAGAATTTCTGGGCTGAAAGACATGTCGGTGTTCGGCGCTGGCGCGTCTCCCCTTTCAGGACTGTGCCAGCCCGCTGAAACATCTTCTCTGTACGCCCAGCAACGTTCGTACTTGCAATGTGTTGCCTTCAACATCCCCCTCCCACAAAGAGTGTTCCGATGTATTTCCGGCAAACACGACGTTCCGCGAGAAGGCAGCATGACAGGTATCCAGTTGGAGGCAAGTTGATGCTGGGTGACGCATATGAGAAATGATACATTCTCTTGCAGGATACGATGGTGCCCTGCCATGCAACGTTGCTTGTGACCCGGCTTTGAGGGGACCACGAGTGGTCCCTCATTGGAAGGCAACCCAATGCAGAGAGCCCCCTGCCTGTCGAGGCACATGGTATTGGGAGGGCTTCGTGCGCGGGATGGTGTAAGGAGCCCCCCTCGTGAAAAAGGCATGAGCACATTCTCGGCATGTCTTGGGCACAGCAGTTGGTGCTTCCCTGCCTTTGAAGAGGGACAAGCATGACGTTGGCCTCAAAGTCTGCTATGAGCCATCTTTATTGGACTGCAAGAAGATGTGTTAAGGGCTACGTACAGAGCAGGCCTGGAAGACGAGAAGAAAAGCACAGGACAGAGGATTGCTGCCCCGTGGCTATGTGTTTCCTAGACACGGAAGCATGTCCTGCGGTCCTTGCCGCACGATGGGTCTTGGGCACGATTGACATGATCGGATTCCGAAACGAACAGCTCCAAATAGTTTTCAGGAGGGCCCCTGCCTGAAATACAAGAAGTGCTGCGGGAGCAACGAGCACGGGGGCATTGCGAGGGGTTCTGGGGGCTTCTCCATGCTTTCATGAAAGCTCTGCTTAGGCTTCACAAAACCTCACGGTGGCATCACTCTGGCTGGCTGGCCGGGAAATCGATGGACATACCGTCGGGGGCGTGGTGGCGCAATACATTCAGGCTTTGTGTCGAAGGCCTGGTCGAAACTCCCCCGCAATACATTAGCTGGGGCTCGCTGTGATTCCCACGCTGCAATGCCCGAATAGGCCCTTCCTTTTCGAGGCTTCCCGGATAATTTCACCGCCTGAAATTGCAGTGTCGGCCCACTTCTTCGTGAGACGAGTTAATGTTGCAACTGGAGACAATAACACCCTTCAAGTCAGGTCGCAAGAGAGGAGGATGCTACGACCACTGGATGACCGCGGCCGCAAAGCCAGGGCTTTCCAGGCGTGACACAATCTTTGCCTCCCTCATGCCAGAACTCTGGCAGCGGATGCAGAAGCCGCGAAAAGCGGCCAATTCCACGAACAGCGATCTGGCCTCAAGGGGCCTGCTGGGCTGACAGCAAGAGGAGGGAAGAAAAGCATCAACAGGGCGAGCGGCAAGGACACGCCTGCGGGACAGGGATTATTGGCATGCGCAAAAGAGAATTCAAGCAGCAGAAGCAGAAGGCACTAGGAAAGACGATTCGGTCTCAAGGAGATGCCGTCGGCGCATCCTCCTGGGACAGGGTCCATGTGCCTTGGCGAAGAGCTTCGCGAGCACGGAAACGCGACGTCACGACGTCGGCCAGGCCGCATCCGCTCAAAGCAGACATCGCCGGTCCGGTCTGCTGCGCTTGCACTGCTGCAGAGCAACCCGCCTCGAGAAATTCCGGGCTGGCAAACGAAGTGCCCTCTTCACAGGTGCCAGCAGCGGAAGTCTACGTGCAGTTGCTTCCATGTTGTAGGCCAGGCCACCCAACCCCAGGGAACGTGGACGAAGTGTGCGCAACCGCTCCTGACGGCATGAGCCTTCCCCGCATGCTTGCGACACAGCGATGTCCAAACCCCACGATACATGTGCCGATGCTCGATGCGAAGCAGGGTCCGACATCGGAGGACCTCTGCTTCGACTTCAACTTCCTGCGGCAGCCCACTTGAGATCCCAACCCCGATAGCCAGCATTGCCTGGTCGGGGCTGCCGTCTAGGCTTCGAGCTCCAAGAAGGCCATCGACGGGCTGCGGCAGTCGACGCACGTCACCGTCAGACTGCGCGGCAGGTCCGCGAGAGGTGCGGGAGGGCGGGCTCGAGGCTCCGGGGGCAGCGAGCTCGAAGACTCAGGCTCCAGGCCGCGCAGTCCGCCCACGGCCACAGGCTGGCCGCGAAGCACATCGAAGCGCCTCGCATCGAAAAGCAGTGGATGTCATCTGTGGGGCCGGAAGCCGCGCCGCAGATAGCTCCCGGTTGCGCGCTTACCTCAGAAGCGACGTGTTACGGCGGCGGAAACTTTGAGACTCTGCTCGCAAGCACCGAAATTGAGCCTAGAATGGACTGCGTCGGCACGCACGCGCAGACACGACTGGTCCGACTGAGCAAGCGCAGTGGAAGAATGCGAAAGCGGTAAGATCTGCGAAGCACGCTCGCTGGCATCGTCAAACGGGCTCTGCTTCCTGAAGCTGTTATCCGGTTCAAGGCCCTATGCAGACACTCGGGGAGAAATGAATGCAAACCATGGGCTGATTCGACAATGTTGCTCCAGGGTCTTATGTTGCGCCAGTACTGCTCATGCCATATGCACGGTTTGGACAAGAAATGCTGGCCTCAAGGAGACAGTCTCCCGGCCGCTCCTGAACCTGAGTGTTCAGACGTCGCGCATTGTCAGCTGCCATTGGCTTTTCGTCGCCTGTAGCTCAGCTATGCCGGGGAAGCCAAGCCTGTCGTGCGGCCGGCGTTCTGCCTTCGTGAAGCTAAAACGCATCACCAGCACATGCCAGCTGGCCAGGCATTTCCCAGCATGATGCGCCCTGTACACATCGGCATGCCAGAACTCAAGCACCGGAAGCAGAAGGAGGGGAAGGCCACCGGATCTAGGACAGACGATGCGGTCTCAAGGAGATGCCGTCGGCATGTCCTCCTGGGACAGGGTCCATGTGCGTTGGCGAAGAGCTTCGCGAGCGCGGAAACGCGACGTCACGACGTCGGCCAGGCCGCAGCCGCTCAAAGCAGACATCGCCGGTCCGGCCTGCTGCGCTTGCACTGCTGCAGAGACGCGCAGAGCAGCACTGTCCTGCCCTGCTTTGAAGAGAATTTCTGGGCTGAAAGACATGTCGGTGTTCGGCGCTGGCGCGTCTCCCCTTTCAGGACTGTGCTAGCCCGCTGACACATCCTCTCACGCCCAGCAACGTTCGTACTTGCAATGTGTTGCCTTCAACATCACCCTCCCGCAAAGAGTGTTCCGATGTATTTCCGGCAAACACGACGTTCCGCGAGAAGGCAGCATGACAGGTATCCAGTTGGAGGCAAGTTGATGCTGGGTCGAGTGCAGCACACTGCAAGGTCTGACGCGCGTGAAGGATGATACTTTCCCGAGTAAGGCTTATGAGCCATTGCCCTTACCCCTGAGCTACTATAATTAGTGGTCTTGCTTTGCAGACGGCTCTGGATTACATTACAGTTGTAAGGAGCTGCAGGAGTTACAGGCCGGGGGCCCGGTGATGCAGCACACAAGCCTCCTTGCAGGGTGTTATGGTGCCCTGCCATGCAACGTTGCTTGTGACCCGGTATTGGGAGGGCTTCGTGCGCGGGATGGTGTAAGGAGCCCCCCTCGTGAAAAAGGCATGAACACATTCTCGGCATGTCTTGGGCACAGCAGCGGGTGCTTCCCTGCAGCCGTAGCTCTTGAAGAGGGACAAACATGACGTTGGCCTCAAAGTTTGCTATGAGCCGTTTTGAGGCCGCAAGATGCGTTGAGGCCTACGTACAGTGCAGGCCCGGCCTCAGAAAGAGAAGCCAGAAGCCCTGAGAAAGTGAAGCAAGAAGCCCTCTCCCGCAAAACACCAGGGGTCCGCAAACTGCACGTCCGATGCCTTTCAGGCAGAAGCTCTCGGAACCCAACTTGCACACCCAATGGGTCCGACAGCTTGACCACGGCATTTACTTGTATAGGTGTTCGGGATTCATTGAATTGAGAAATACGTCGAGCACGTCGAGCCCGCACGAATCGGCATTTCAATAAACAGTATGATAGCAGAGAAGGGTTGGCCCGTCCTTTGCACGCACATCGGGAGAAGTTGCCCACAAAGACGCACTCCGTTTAGTGCTTCGGCTCCAGTGCATTCAGATCGCATCCCAGCCGGCTCCGGAAAGGAGCGGCAGGTAGCAGGCTTGGAGAGCGTCGCCCATGCCCCACAGCGCGGCCGGCCACATGCAAAAGTCGGGGCAAGGGGACCCTCAAAGACGGTGCGGTGCATGAGGGACCCTGCAGCCCTTGAGGAGGCCCGCCAGGCAAGGGCTTCCCTCCAGGAATCATATAGCCTGGAAACCTGGCAAGAACGGTAACCTTCTGCCGTCAGGCAGCATCTTGTGACTGGTGAGGACTGGAAGCAAACCTGCACATGAGAAACGAACTTAAGCAAAATTCAGCTACATCTAGCGGCCAGCTGTCTCATATCACGCAGCCATGCCTTCTTCGGTTCTGCGAGGCTCTGCTGCAAGACTCAGGCACGACTGGTCGAGCCAACATATCCAGGTAGTGCCAGCCTGCAACAGGCAATGATGCACTGCGAGTCCTGGGCCTGCGGGTGCCAGGAATCCTCGGCTGGCTCCGCGACTCCAACTGTGCCGGCAGTCGCCTGCCTGGGACGCTGCAGGAGGTGCTGTGGCCTTACTCTGAGCTCACCTACAACTACAAGGGTGTCGGACAGCCAGTGGACATGAGCAACGCAGCGAGAAACACCCGAAGCAGCTCGGGAATGGCCGGAGTGAAGCAGGCTGCCTACCACGGGCTCAGCAGTGCCCAGTCCTGCGCACTCAAACCTCCGGCTTCACTCTCAAGCCAAGTAGAGTAAGTAGAGCTTGCAACCCTGGATCCAGGCGATCCAGGGTTGCATGACTTGCAGGGCACGACCTTGCGCCTGCTCAGCGCATGCGACATCAGACAACGAGTGCTGTGCCGCTGCGCGCCTGGCCTGGCAAACAGTGCTCCTGTCTCCTGTCTCTCGAACTCTCGAACACAGATGCCATGGCAGGCATCAGCTGATCCTACAGCTGCAGCACCCCACGTTTGATGCTGCCACGCGCTTCCTCCATCGCTTGACCTTGAAAGCCTGCTTTGGGCAGAGGCAGCAACACCTTCTTGAAGCTTACAAACCAGCCTTTCTGCACTTCAACCGAAGCCACAGACAGGAGAGGGAGATCCTCGCCATCGACAAGCCACCTCTAGGTGAACACAGAGAGCACATTGCTCGGCAACGCCAAGGAGCCTTGGGTACAGCTCCCCGACATACTGCGCAAGTTGCGCTGGCCGCACGCAACCCAACAGAGCAGCAGGATCTGCAGAACCCTGGATCAGAGGCTTCCCGCGCATCAAGCGCCGGAGCTGTTCAGCGAAAGCACCTCGGAAATGTTCACCCACACAGAGACCACAAGCTCCTTGAATCACGCATTTGTCTGGATCTGCACAGAGCTTGCAATCTGCACGTGAACAGTGCACCCGAACGGACCGCAAAGCCCCCTGCCCGGAGTGGAGCAGTCTTTGGGCCAGTCTTTGTACCACGGGCTCAGCAGTGTCCAGTCCTGTGCACTGAGACGTCCTGCTTCACTCTCAGGCCAAGTAGAGTAAGTAGAGCTTGCAACCCTGGATCCAGGGTTGCACGACTTGCAGGGCTGACTGGTGAGGACTGGAAGCAAACCTGCACATGAGAAACGAACTTAAGCAAAATTCAGCTACATCTAGCGGCCAGCTGTCTCATATCACGCAGCCATGCCTTCTTCGGTTCTGCGAGGCTCTGCTGCAAGACTCAGGCACGACTGGTCGAGCCAACATATCCAGGTAGTGCCAGCCTGCAACAGGCAATGATGCACTGCGAGTCCTGGGCCTGCGGGTGCCAGGAATCCTCGGCTGGCTCCGCGACTCCAACTGTGCCGGCAGTCGCCTGCCTGGGACGCTGCAGGAGGTGCTGTGGCCTTACTCTGAGCTCACCTACAACTACAAGGGTGTCGGACAGCCAGTGGACATGAGCAACGCAGCGAGAAACACCCGAAGCAGCTCGGGAATGGCCGGAGTGAAGCAGGCTGCCTACCACGGGCTCAGCAGTGCCCAGTCCTGCGCACTCAAACCTCCGGCTTCACTCTCAAGCCAAGTAGAGTAAGTAGAGCTTGCAACCCTGGATCCAGGCGATCCAGGGTTGCATGACTTGCAGGGCACGACCTTGCGCCTGCTCAGCGCATGCGACATCAGACAACGAGTGCTGTGCCGCTGCGCGCCTGGCCTGGCAAACAGTGCTCCTGTCTCCTGTCTCTCGAACTCTCGAACACAGATGCCATGGCAGGCATCAGCTGATCCTACAGCTGCAGCACCCCACGTTTGATGCTGCGACGCGCTTCCTCCATCGCTTGACCTTGAAAGCCTGCTTTGGGCAGAGGCAGCAACACCTTCTTGAAGCTTACAAACCAGCCTTTCTGCACTTCAACCGAAGCCACAGACAGGAGAGGGAGATCCTCGCCATCGACAAGCCACCTCTAGTCTAGGTGAACACAGAGAGCATATTGCTCGGCAACGCCAAGGAGCCTTGGGTACAGCGCCTGTGCGAACCCAGCGCACATCCCTCTGTAATCCTCACCAATCTTGCTGATTTCCGAGCAACTGGCACATGCACATGCCAATGCTTGAGGGCACGTCATGCTCTGCTGGCAACGTCAAATCCGTGTCAAACTTTAGGTGTACCTGGTGGGACCCAAAGGTCCAAGGACCCTCCGACCGTCCGTGACTCGCCCCTTCCCCAACAACTCAATATGAGGCTGACGTAGGCCGACGGCAATGCCCCTACAACCTGTGTAAGAGCAGGAGTTCCGTCAGGTCGGCGCCAGCAGCAAGGAATACCTGAGCCAGGACTGTTGGGCTTCAGGCTCCATCTACATCGCCCTCGCCCCCATCACAAAAGCTTCTCATGAAAGATGAACAGAGCTCTCTTTGCTTCCGACAGCACCTCGCCCGACCACTAGCACTATACTTCTCTCACCAATGATGCACCCAGCCTCGCCAGCCTCATCCTGCATCTAGCTGGGAACCGCCATCCAGGGAAGCTAATCGGAAAGCAGCAGTCGAACTACGTTACTACAGGCGCTCCCCAGAAACCTGATCGGGCTCGGGACTAGCTTGGCCCGACACCTTCTGAGCTTCGACTCTACTCTCTGGCGGGAATTTTGGAGTGCGACATTGCTACATCATGTAAATGTAAGCTGTGAGAATGCGGGGGAGCGGCAAAAAGGTATGAAAGCAGCTACAGAACTACCACATTCATGGACATGATGGACTCTTCAAGGCTCGATTTTGTTTCGCCAAGCGACCTGCAGGGTCACTATTGCAGTGCTGTGTCGCTACACCATGCAACTTGTGAAAACGAGAAGCAGTAGCAGCAGCATACCTGTTCGTTTTGCTCAGCCCACTCCTCACCCTTCAGGACATCCTCCAAGCAGTGAGCCCGCACTTCCGAGGAGCCACATTTTCTGCAGCCCTGTGGTTCTGTAAACAGATCGAGCTGCTTTCATGCTCTAAAGGTCTTCGCATAGTCTTCTGCTGTGAGGAGCTGTACTTACGAAACAGGTGGTTCGTCGGTAAGTCATGCGATGCCATCCTTTTTCGCCTCCCACTGAGTCTGGACTTGGCAGGTCCGGGATCTTCAGATCTGCCCGTCCTTGAAACCAGGATCCCGGGGTTCGCAAGAGCTCAAAAGAGCTCCAAACCGAAAGGCAGCTGAAGCTGTAGTGTCGGCTTCTTCTGCTGAGGTCCATCGCGCTTGGCCACCGGAACGCGGGGTCGCCTTTGTAACAGCGTCTCACGCTTCAGACTCCGGAGACGCTGTGCGCCTTGCAAGGGCTCAATGGGCTCCTCACGTGCCATCCAGGGCAATGCAGAGGCTGGTGGACGACAGCGACAGTCGAATGCCAGCTGCCGAAGTGCCCCAGAACGCGGCGGGGGAAGACGAAGAGAGTTCATTCCCGACTTGCCCTTGAAAGGACCGAAGCTATGGTTGTGGACTCCGCAGCGCGCGCACCGCCCAGTCCATCGATGTGTCCAACTCGGTGAACCGCGATAGATCCTTCAAGCTCGGAGCATAAGACCTCTCAGCAAATTCTCCGGCCTCTTCGAAAGCTCGAACGAAGTGCTGTGCCCGCAAGACACTCACAGGTGCTGCTGCGACGGAGCTGAGACTTGAAATGTTGAAATCAAGCGGCGCATTGGTCATCGCACAGTCCACGGCTGACGCTCTCATCACGGGTACCCAACTCTCGTCGCGTTTCTTGTCGTCTATTGAGAGCTGCAGTGGCTCACAGAGCTGAAACTCACCGAAGATCGGTAGCGGGAGTCCCAGAGATGCATCGGCGAGCGAAGCCTCTCGCATCGCCTGAGGATCCCGTGCTCCGCAATGACGACGCAGGACCTGGAAAGAAGGCAGCTGAGGCAGCCCGTCCAGAAACCGCCCGAGCATTCCCGGCGAGCGGTCAAAGTCGGAATGGAGGAATTTGTCCATGCCACGAAGGTAAACGAACCACTCGAAACCTGCACTCCGCGAAAGCGCGAGACAGTGATTCACCTGCCGCGTTTGCAGGCAGCTGTTTCCAAGCCCCTTGCGCCAAAACTCTGCATTCTGCTCGTGCATCCGTTTTCCCATCCTCTGACTGAAGTTCCGCACATAAGTAAGCCGCCCTTCTTGGTGCAGTGAAGCAGCAGAGCCCTTGGATAAAAGCGGCTCAATCGAGCCATCGAGATCGTAAACTATAAAATGGTCAGCTCCCATGAGCCGGTGATACGCGAGCCAATCATCCAGCAGCTGTGAGAACTTCCCTGCGCCAAGATAAGGTTTCAAGCAAACAGCTGTTCGTCGTGCCTCCAGCTCTGGTCTTTGATATGGGCAAATCTTCAGTCGCAGTGGTTTGGAGAAGACGCCGTCGAGCTCGTGCACTTCGAGATGCAGCCCTTGCACGCCTCCCGATCCCCTTCCGCCCAGCCACTGGGGCAGCGCTTGCCGTGGCAAACGGCAAACGACAAGTGTGTGTAGCGCCGGTTCCGTCTCGTGGCCCGAGGCAGTGGCAGCAGGCACCACCATCTTCTCGCCACCCTCGCTGTCGATAACACAGGCAAAACGAAGGTAGTGGCTCGCCTCCCAATTTCCACATTGCTCACGGCAGGCGATGCCCACACAGGGTTCCAGATCTGCAGGAGCCTCGAGCTCAGCGACGTGAAGCGAGACCTCGACCTCCACCCCACAGTTCGGGAGCTCCCGCACCACTGCAGCAAAGGCAAGAGCCTCCAGCCGCCCGGGCAAAACCTCCACGCGCTCCACGTGCCCGTCCACCGGAGCCTGTGGAGCCTGTGGAGCCTGTGGCTCAGTGGCGGAGCAGAGCGCGGCGGCCAAGAACTCCCGTCTGGCAACAGCATGGAGGCAGGGAGGCTCGAGCCGCGGAAACCGCCTTTGGCTCTTGGAGCGCCGAAACGGGCCCGGCGGGCGCCGCGGGCGCAGTCGTCCATTCAAAGCTGCGGCAACTGCACGCCACCAACTCGCTTGCAACGGCACCACCAGCTCCAAGAACCTTCGAGGATTCGCTGGCATGCCCAGACGAAGGCATCGGAGGACGCCGGAAGCCGTGCGTGTTTGAGCGCACTGCAGCAGCGCACTTGGCGACTTGCGCCACTGAGCCTTGCTTTGACAAGTCGGAACAGACTTGCAGCCCAAAGTCCAGGGGCGCCGCTGACAAAAAAACTCATAGTCCAATGCAACATCCGAAGTGCCGCCTGCAGGACACAGCATTCCAGACAGTTGAGCCAAAGCTTCAAACAAGAGAGAATGCCACTGAAGCGCCGTCTCACTCCGCGGAAGTATCCATTCGGGCCTCAAGATCAGCTCAAGCTCGTGTTTCCAAGGAGCCTGAAGCATCTGAATGGCCCTGGCTTTCACTTTGTAGATGTCTCCATGCCAATCTCGGTGAAAAGTGACGATGGCATGTGCCAACTTGCTGACGACCACTGCCACAGGACACTGGGCTTCGTTCCAACGAGCCGTCCAACGAAGGTTGGCGATGTCCACCTCCCCTCCCTCCTGGCCCTCCACTCCAAAGCCTAAGCCAGATGCTGCCAGAGTCCACAGCCTCTGCCATGGAAGTGAGTCACAGTCCCAGCTGGCCCAGCTCCAGGAGCCGTTCAAGGCTACCCAGGAGGATGCCTCGTAGAGCATGACGTCTACTTGGCGTGCTTCGGAGTCCTTAGAGCCCACCAAGACACACCTTTCCCGGCAAATTCCTACGAGTGACCTTTCACAAAGCACGGCGACGAAAAGCTGCAAGTCTGCCTCCTAACTCGAAGGGCCACTTCAGGCTACAACCCCCCTGCTTCCGTCAGCAACGTTGGGGAGCTTCGGGTGTGTCAAGAAGTAACGAAAACATGTCATGTTGCGGAGGTTGGCTGTTGATGTGGGTTAGAGCTAGTATGGTTTAACAAACATACCACAACAGCAGCAGAAGGAGCAATAGAAGCAGCAGTAGTAGTTGTGGCGACGAGGGTAGCAGTGGAAAGGAAGACATACAAACAGTAGCAGCAGGAGTGGTACCGGTAGTCGTGATAGTGGCAATGGTCATGGTAGGGAGTGGGAGTAGGAGTAGAATTTCGAGTATGAGTGGCAGAGTAGCAGCAGGAGCTGCAGTAATAGCAGTGGGCGTCGTCGTGCTCGCAATCCGGGTCAGTCTTCTTGTAAACCCGAACGGTAAACCGCACGAGAACACCTAAGCAAGACAACCAGCTCTCGTTCGCGTATCCGCCGGAGCCTGTGTAACCCAAACACAAGAATGCGGGGGGACGTGCCGACCCTAGAAACAAGTCTCAAAACAGTCGTGGCTCATAACTCAGAGCCTCTTCTTGATTGGCAGTCGTCTCTTAACCAAAAGCAGTTGTCATGCACAAGTCTTTTCCTGCCAACATGATCGACGCAAGAGTCCCTCAGCTTGAGCTGGCTGGAAGACCGGTGCAGATAATGTGGAACTGCACCGGCTTGGCGGCGGCTCAACAGCAAAACCGCTGGCATCGCTTTGGTACTGAGTGACACTCGAAAAATCCAGTTCCGGCCTCAGGACAGCCTGGGACCGCAGTACGGGTTGCACCATGGAACTCGACACGGCCAATCCGGGCCGACAGAATGCTCAGCCCATCACTGCAGTGCTGTGGTCTGTTGTAGCGATTCACGCAGTGCGCTCCCTACTTACAGCAAGGACTTTGGCTGATGCTGGGTCAGGAACATCGAGAAAAGTCTCGCGTTCTTCAGGATGTGAGGCATGACAACCACGTCGCATGTCGGTTCTGGAGGCGGGCGCAGACATCGAGCTGGATGCACTCTGACCCCGTGCGGAAGGAGCAGCCACTCTGCACAAAAGATTTGAGCAAGTGGATAGATGTCTGGAAGATGGTGCTGTCACAGAAGCGGCGATCCACCATCGACTCTTGAATGAGACGCTTCAGCCGGACGTGTGCATGATAGACATTCACACATCACGCTTCGGCCCAATGCTCAAACATGACCGCGGCGGCCGATTGCTTGCAGAGCTAGACGATGAATGCGGCTTGGCAACACGCTGGCCTGCATCATGGGAACCCCGACAAATGTGCAGGAGTTTGCCAGTATCAGAGCCATGCATGAACATGCCATCGCTGCAGCTGTGGATGCAGGCACCAGCGCCAGTGCAAGGCTTCAGACGCCATAGTGAGGTTTAGCTGAAGCCTCGGCTCATGCTGCGGCGGCGGTTCCCAAGTTCTGGCTGACAAGGCTGTCAGACGGCTGTCGTACCGTGGAGGAACCAGCCGTCGTCGCCAGGGTCTTTGCTGCTTGGGACCCCAGGGGCGCTGTGTGCGTGAAGCGAGGCACAGTATGTCCTGGACAGCACTGGCTTTGTCGTTACTCGTGGCGGGCTTATGTACCCTTTCCTTGTGCATGACAGTGCGTGCATATGAGAAGCTTTCGTGAAGGACAGACAATACTCAAGCCCCACTAGTGGCTGCTGGATGGCATGTTCTACATTTCATGATAGATGCCTGCCTCCCCGGTTTCGGGCATTCGGATTGGGCATTATTTCGGGGTCTTACTGGGCAGTAGACACATTGCGACAGGCAAGGGTTGGGCAGTGCAGATAAGCCCTGAGACAGAGAAGCGGAGCCTGAAGCAATGGCCCAGGAAGGAGGGACACCAGCTGCATCCTGAACTCTGCCAAGCTGACCCAAAGCGGAGAGCATCGATCCTCAAGGGCATCGAAGCATGCGGCTGGCGTGTTGCTGGGGAATGCTGAGAGTCACTTCTGTCCGGATCCCTCTTGCCTCGAGGACCCGAAATACCGCTAAATGCACATTTTGCAGGGGTGATTTATGGAGGCTGCTGCCTGGCGCAACTGTCAGGCAAGGTCCCAGCAAGAGGTGGCGGCGACTCTACAAAATTCTATGCGCACCGTCTGGGCAGCCTTCTGTCACCACTTCTGGCTCAGGCCAGAGGAGTCTGTCTCCTTGTGAAATCCATAGTCCCGAGCCCTTTGGAATGACTGGGCATCATCATGTCACAGTGATAAGAAGCACGGAGGATGTGGCCGGTCGCGCGGGCAATCGATCCGTTCTTGGGCCTTACGCCGGCCAGAACGGTTGCGATGATATGAAGTGAGCCAGGTGGCAAGCGATGGCTCAACATGTGCCTTCCACACTCCATACGAGTCTGCGTGCCAAAAGTCATATCAAGGAAGATGGCTTCGACAAGGCTTCAAGCATCGAGCTTGGGCCGGCAGCCATGGGCCATGCCGACTCCACGCCTCCGACGCCTCCGAGTCTGAGCGTGAGAGGCTGGAACTGAGAAGGCAAGGGCAAGCTCACAGTGAAGAGAGCCAAGAGCCAGGGCCAAGCCTTCCTCCCAACAGCCCCAAGGGCCCCAACACCCCAGAGGCCCCAGAAAGACAAAGACCCGCGCAGAGCATCGCCTTCCAGCACGAAGGCTTGTAAACTCTCTGAGAGGCCCTCGGGACATGCATGGCTCTTTTTCTGCGAGTGTCAAGCGAGTGGCTCGAACTGCGACTCTCAAGGTGCAGCAATTTCAAGCAGGCGCGGAGCACCTCTAGCTGCCTCCCCAAGCCTAGAGTAGACGTGGCGACTTCTCGCATGGCATGCAGCAAAAACAAGATGTAGCAACCATCCGATAGGACAACAACCTGCGATCCCAGAAGCGGTCGACCGGCTTGGGTCGCTCTGGGTTTGGTGTTGTGCCGCAACCCAGCATGCACACAGCACATTACACTTCAGGCCGGAGCAAACAAAAGCCCTGCCGACCCTGGCCAGCGAATTCGGGCTGAGGACGCCGAGGCATTCTTTGCGCGTTTCAAGCATCCCCCCGGATCTGGCTCAGCTCTGAAAGCAAGCCAACGAGCGCTGCATGCAGTGCAGGCAGCAGCTGCTCTGAGACACTCCTGCCGAAACAGCCGTTCCCGGCAAAAAACCGTTGATGCGCCGGGTTCCAGAACTCACACTTGCGGGGCCACTTTGAGGCCATCTCGGCGAGTAGCTTCCCTGATGTTAAGAGACTTACCTCAATCTTTATAGGGAGACAAGACGGGCTGGTGCTTATGCCGGCTTGATGTTGCAGCCTTTTTCATGGAGACTGACTGAAACAGCTAACGAGCTATCAATACTATGGACGATTTAATACATCTACGCATAATGCCGAAGCAGCAATGCCTGGAAAGCAAATCTTGATTTGCCGCGTTCCACAGTTCACACTTACGGATGGCTTACATCTGCGAGGCCATCAGACTTTCAACAAGAGCTTGATGTAGCTCAGCTGCTCTGAGGAACATTCATAACTCACGCTAGCAGAACGGGCATGCCGAGTAGGGGCTAATGCTGTTTCGACATGTGCAAACCAGAACTGTGATTGGCTTCCGCGTTCCACAATTCACACTTACGGATGACTTACATCTGCGAGGCCATCAGACTTTCAACAAGAGCTTGATGTAGCTCAGCTGCTCTGAGGAACATTCATAACTCACGCTAGCAGAACGGGCATGCCGAGTAGGGGCTAATGCTGTTTCGACATGTGCAAACCAGAACTGTGATTGGCTTCCGCGTTCCACAATTCACACTTACGGATGACTTACATCTGCGAGGCCATCAGACTTTCAACAAGAGCTTGATGTAGCTCAGCTGCTCTGAGGAACATTCATAACTCACGCTAGCAGAACGGGCATGCCGAGTAGGGGCTAATGCTGTTTCGACATGTGCAGACCAGAACTGTGATTGGCTTGCCATGCCGGCTGCAGATGGCATGGGGGAAGGCAGATCAAAAGCACGGAATAGTGACCACAGGCCATGTGACAATCCGGGAAAGCAGAGACTCTGGCAGATGCACCGCCACTAGTCGCATTTTCACCTAAGCCGCGGGTTGAGTTGAAACAAAACTCACAATGGTACTGTCTAGCATAGGAGCGGATAGGGGTCTGCTATAACATCGTTACAAGTGCTTCGAGAAGCGGCTGCAATAGTCGAACCCCGACTCAGGCTTTACATCTGATAGTCAACACGGGAAGCTAGGCTTTCGTCTCATTGTCATCATCTTGGGCTTAGAAAATCCCACGGAAACCCGGCGAGAGAGCGTCTGAGAGCATCAAGGCTAGATTGGACTCTATCGATTGACCGTGCCAACACGTTCTTGGAGCGGATCTCGCAAGAAGCGATTCTACACTCTTGGGATGTAAGCAGTGACAGACTGCGGTGAACTGGCATTCCCTTCCTCGCGACTCTCGGGACGCTGTAGCAAGGACTCTTGTTCGCAGGTGCAGACATCGGTGGTTCTGGACGCATAATGCCGAAGCAGCAATGCCTGGAAAGCAAATCTTGATTTGCCGCGTTACACAATTCACACTTACGGACGACTTACATCTGCGAGGCCATCAGACTTTCAACAAGAGCTTGATGTAGTTCAGCTGCTCTGAGGAACATTCATAACTCACGCTAGCAGAACGGGCATGCCGAGTAGGGGCTAATGCTGTTTCGACATGTGCAAACCAGAACTGTGATTGGCTTCCGCGTTCCACGATTCACACTTACGGATGACTTACATCTGCGAGGCCATCAGACTTTCAACAAGAGCTTGATGCAGCTCAGCTGCTCTGAGGAACATTCATAACTCACGCTAACAGAACGGGCATGCCGAGCAGGGGC